CCCCAAAACCCCAAAACCCCAACAATCTGCAATTAAAGATTTTAATTCGAAATCACAATAAATATTACAATCAATTTTATATTTACAATAGCATATAATTGACAAAGCTTAAAAGTAGAGCGATAATCATCACCTATCTAATAATCTGCTATAAGTAATGATGTATCAATTGTGGGCAGTACTTTTATTCATTAATTCTCTATTGTTCAAGCCTTGGATAATTTCATCTAATATTGGCTTTCCTTTAGAAGCCATTTCAATAACTAATTAAACAATATCCTGGTCATTTTTATATCTATTGGAAAACTTGGAACTAGGGGGACGAAGGATATTATTATACTATTGAAATGAATTTTTGGAAGGTAATTATTATGCTCCTGTTGAGTAATTCTTTTTGTGATTTAAATCATACTGCTAAAGCAGACCTTATTTCTTCTTCTAGCTGTTTAATTAATAACTGAGATCTTAAAATTCTTCATTCTACATAGAATCAGTATTATGATTATAGCTTCTTTCTTTAAGAAATGGGATTTGTATAAATGAATAGATATTTGGTTTTTTCGTCTTCATATACTTGCGAGTAAAGTAGTACTCCTCTTTATTTTTTGTTTTCTGTATTAATTGCCATTTAGAATATTCACGCATCATCTTTAAATTTTTCAATTTATCTTGATATTATAAGAAATTTGAAGAGTGCTAATTGAAAAAAGACGAAGACTAACCCATATCTGGAGATCCTCCACTAATTAATATCTCTTAATTATTATTTTTTGACATCGGGGTATATGGAAAGTTTTAATTTTATTGCATACTCTCCATAAACTTATTAATCTCTTCATTAATCTATTATTCATTCATTTGATTTTCTCTAATATCAAATGTGTCAGCTGAGTCAGACTCTGTGTAATTGGAAATATGCGATTTCAAAGACTTCTAAATAGCAATAGGAGTTTAAGCATGTGGTGTAACTTTTTCAACTTAAATTTAATCTGAAGGAAGTAAAGGTGCTTTGAAACTTTTATTTGCATTATTTAAAAAGATTCCCATAGATTTTCTTCGTGCTTTTTCATCAACTTTACTTGTCATTCTTCTTATTTTGTGAGGCAAAGTAGTTTCCTTAAAGTATTCTTCTATTGTTTTGGTGACAGGATTTTTTAGAATAGATTTTTAAGTTGTTGGACTATCAGGAAAAGGATCTATCTATAAAGGCTTAGAGGAAAATTTACTATTCTTTGAATATGTATCTTCAATTGTCTATGGTGCTTGATGTGTTTTGGGGTTATAAGATAGGGAAGTTAATTTCTTCATTAATTGCATTGATATCTGAGGCTTTAAACCATGCTAATTCCTTCCGCTATTTTTCATTACTTACACTTCTTTTATTTTTCCCACTAAATTCTCTACATCTTATTTCTACTAATCATTAAGTTCTGGGTACATAGACTTCCTTTTTTCTCTTTAGAAACCAAATTAAGGTATATTTTTGTTGCTGACATTATTACTTTTAGTCATACAACCACTGGCTACTGCTTAGGTTATTTTCGGTCCATTCTTAAGTTGAACATCAAAGACTGATTGTATTTTTTTATCAATCATCTCTTTGATCACTCTTTATTACTTGATAACACTCCTACCTGAGTTTTAAAGTTTTTGAAATGAGTTGTTTAAATTTTAAGGTTTAGGGATATTCAACTGTATATTATTATTGTTGACATTTTAGTTATTGTTACTTAACTGAGAAACTCCAATAATTGGTTGAGAGCTATTGGAAAAGTTGGTTAGATGTTTGTTACTCTGCATTTTTTCATGGAGTTACCTTAGTTATTGAAGCTTTTCTTATTACTGACTCTTTTAACTTTGTGGAAATATTTGATCTGTCTACATTTATTGAAATTAACTTGTTAGAGGTGGAATAATATTCAGTGATTTTTATTTCTAAGGAGTCACTGGAATTTTTGTGTTAATTTCTGAGGGTAATGTTCCATTCCCTGGAGTTTAGCTTTCTTCCATTGTTTTTTCTCTCATTTATTGTAGCAATAAGTCTCAAGGATCTCCTATATATGAAAGCTCAGAAAAACTTGAATAGCTCGAATTTGTTTGATGTATAGCAAAATCTTTTGGCCTCTCTGCAACTTTTTAGTATAATTGGTTATAAAGTTTTCCCTATCTCTTTAGTAAAAACTTATTTATTTTTCTTTCAACCATCTCATTTCTTGAATCAGGATCCTCAACTATATCTTAATCCCCTGCTTTCCTTCTAGCTGCTATATATTTAATAGCTGAATTGGTATTTTTCTCGTCCATTCGTTTTAGCTTAACAGTTTTTTTACTGACCTTTATATTGGCTAAGCTTTTTCCCATTGATTTTTCTAAGGAATCATCATCTTTCTTTTGAGAAGTGAGTTAATGAATATTAATCTTTTGTGACCCCATTTTATTTGAACTTGCCTATCTAAGTAGCTATAGAATCTATTGGCTAGTCTGTTGCTTACTTAAAGATTTCGGAGTCTAGCTGTTGTTGATAGAGGCACCTCATTGATATAGATGATTCTAAAAGGCACTTTGATAATTCAAGGCTTAAGTTTACTAGTTCAACTACATATATCGATTTAATTATGTATTGTCTCAATTTCAATATTATTTTGAAAAATTATATAGTAATTAATTAATTGCCATGATATAAGTTTCCAGTTTTTAACTTTTATTAAACAATAATCAATTATTCTAACTTATTATTATCATGGGGTTTTGGGGTTTTGGGGTTTTGGGG